CGTGAGGCTCAATCATGACCCTCCAGAGAGCTGTATGTCTGGCAGGACAGGACAGGATGGAAGGAGCAGGACTCTCCTGGCCCTGACATGCACAATGTGCAACCTGCAAGCAGCTGCATGTCACGCTGGCAGCACTCCTGAAGCTTTTACGTACTTACTTGTGGAGCAGGTCAAAAGCCAGCAGAGGCAGAGGCTCAGTAAGCCGCCAAGCTAACAGTTGTCCTCCCCTGCTGCAGCTCCAACATATAGCTTGGGGTGTAGGGTGGGAAACATGGATTTAATACTCCAGGGCCAGTGCCCCAGGGTGTGGTGCTGCAGCTCCCAGAGACCACAGGGCTGCGAGAGATTGGAGATAGAAGATTCAAATCTCTGACAAAGCTGCCACAAGTATGATGCACACCTCATGACACTCTGGCAGAGGCAGCATGTAGTTGCTCTCCGCACCTGGGTCCTTCACGTTGGCTGGGAGGAAGCCAGCAGCCCAGGTGAGGAGAGCAGCTTTACCGCAGACACTTGAATGTGGGTGTCATAGCTGCTGTACAAAATGATTTCATTTTATAGGTAAAATAGTAGTTTAGATGGACCTAAGTCAAGTGGCAAAAATGCAAGATGTTTTCCAAGCATGGAGAACTCACGGAAGCTGGGTAGTTGGCAGAGATAGTGGCACATTCTGTAACCTATTGTCATCAACAGTGAGGTATGGAGGGCAGGAATTGCAGTTGGTTACTAGCTAATCAAAGTTGGCTGATTTCTGGGCAGAAACCCTTTTTTCTTTCAAATATTTATTAGTACATTTGTAGTACACAATGACTGCATTCGTCCTGCGGAGTTGGCACATGTACATAATCTTAATTCTTTTAGTCTCTTCCCTTCCCTTTTTTCTTTCCATCTCTTGATCTGCTCCCCATTTGCAAAATATCTATCTACCTGTTTCCCATGATCTTTTATTTGGCTCTTTATATTTGGGTTTTTCAGATGAGAGAAGCCATGTGATTTTTTTTAAAGGTTGATAATTGCATTTTTTATTCCTTTAGTTTATTGGTACATGTAGTACATGATGGTAACATTCCTTGTGGGAAGCTGGTACATGTACATCTCTTAATCCCTTTTTCATTCCTTTCCCTCCCCGACCTCTCCTTTCCACTCATTCCATAATCCCATTCCTTTTTTCAGTACATTTGCAGTGCATGATGTTTCCATTCCTTGTGTGGAGTCAGTGCATGTATGTAACACATCCTATTCCCCCTTTTCATAGGTTATCCCTCCCCTGTTCCCTCTCCGTCTCAATAGCCTTCCCCTCTGAGAACTATCTATCTCCCTACTTTGTATTAACTATCTTTTATTTTTATTCTTTATTTTTACTCTGAGTTTCAGTTTGATTCAGGTATACCCCCTCTAGGTATCTTCCTGAAAGAGTAAAAGACATATTACAGTGACACATGCACACCCATGTTTATAGCAGCACAATTCATAATAACTACCCTGGGGTACTACTCTGCCATAAAGGAGAAACTTTTAAGTCATTTGTAGGAAAATGGATGTACTATGTGATATTTAAGCTTGTGTGTCTGATTTATTTAACCTCATGGTCTCAAAGTACATCAATTTAGGACAATTTCTAAAGCACTGTCACTGAAATCCAGACACTGAAGTTTTACATGGGACCCAGTGGCTTCTGGAACCACACTATGCAATTCGAATGAAAATATCAAGGTTGTAAGGGAGTTCATTTTCAGTGTCTCTCCAAGCATGGCAGCCTGTCATTTTTTAGTAACTCCAGTGAGAAATGGCAAATTCCTATAATTTAAGAACAAATTTTATGCTTTTCAGGCCTTGGGGTACAGGATGGAAAACATGGACTTACTACTCAAGGGCCAGTGCCCCAGGACGTGGCGCTGCAGCATGTGTAAGAGATCATCTTACATGACTGGATGTCATGACACACCATCAAGCATGCTGTACCACTACATCTTGTCAAAACTGATCCATTTTAGGTGTTTTGTGTTAGGTGTATAGGGCCCAGGTAGGGGTACCTGGTATGGTATGAGTGTCCCGAGGACCCAAAAACACGATCCTTTCAGCTCTCCTGCCACTCACTGGTCACAAGCCCAGTCAGCTATCCTGATCCTTGTCTTTGTCGTTGTTGAGACAAGGTCTCGTTATATAGTTCATCGTGGCCTTGAGCTACCCACGTCTCAACCTTCTGCTGTTGGGATTACAAATATGCATCACCGTGCTATGATCCTCAACTTTTAAAAATATGTTTTTAGAGCTATTTTAAAAACATTTACAAAATAGATGATAAAAATATTTTTCTGGATTGTAGTAGGGAAAATAGAAGACTCAGTTAAATATATTGATACTTGGCTTATTCACTTCGTTGTGTAACTGAAGACTGCACTGTTCGTTTCTAGTTTTTCCATTTTCTCCACTAAAGTCATCTTTCATTTTTTGAATAGCCTTTAGAATCCATTGGTCTTCTGTGCCTTTTTCCTTTCACAATTTTTGGCAGATTTATCTTCCTCTTTTAGCTTGGTTTCCAGTTTTTCAGGATGTGGTTAGGAACTTTGTCAGTGTCCTCTAAAGCTCCCTTTGGACTTTCACTTAAGCCAACTTGAATTGATCTCATTTCTTGGCAGAGATTTGTGGTGGTAACCACAGGTGCCTGGCCCCCTATCAGCCACAGCACTGTGGACATCTTCACAAAGCCGACAGATGGCACTGCTGCTACATCTAAGCAGCTTTCATAAGCCTGTTGGTATTTTAATACCAATGCGAATGGTATTTTAATGCAAATCGTAAAGTAAAATCATTAAAGTTACTATTTACTTAATTTAAATGTTTCTCCAGGGTAGAAATTACTTTATCTTCATCATGTAAAGAACTCATTACTCTTCTGACTCCATTGTGGCTCTTGCTCTGTGTGTACATGATCTGTGTTTTCTGTTTTTATGAGCTACCATTGGTCCTGAGACCAGGAGACAGAGAGAATTAGGGTAAGAGTGCCTGAGTAAACTGAGCAAACAAACTGAAACTAAAGGCCAGGACTTAGCGGAGCTAAGCCTCAGGAAAATAGAGCAAAAGGACAAAGCATGAGTCCCTCAGTAAACTAGGAAAAACCTGAAAGGGCTGGAATGTAAAAAACATAATACAGCCCACTTTCCAGACATCAAAAACCTTACCTTGTAAGCGCTCACCTGCTTATTCTCCACCTTCTGTCAAATTCTCCATAGGTCTCTGGGTACAAACTTTTGTAGGATCAATCTTTTGGAAAGCTTCCTGACAAGCAGGAGCTTTTTTTAGTTTGCAGTTTTTTTTTTGTTTTGTTTTGTTTTTTGTACCAGAAATCAGAACTCAGGGCTTCTTGCTTGCCAGGCAGGCACTTACACCTTTGAGCTATCCCCCACAAGCAGAAGCTTGTTATTCTAATAAACCATACCTGGTACCTGTCCTATTGCTTACCATGTTCTATCAGTACCAATTTTTGTTGTTCTCAGAACAAGAACAAGGGAGGCAGGTGTTCAGTATAACTTAATTGCAGTTTTGCTATTGTGTGTCTAAGTCTGCATTTCTTTAGTTTTCCTGGTTGAGTTAAACCATGATTCCATTATCTATGGATTCTTGTTTTTCATCAGTTTTGCATAATTCTCATCTAATCCCAGGCATACTTTGAAAAGTTAAAAATAAGGGGACTAGTTTAAAAGCCTCGGATGATTTTCATTTTAAAACATTGCTTCTTCCAAAAAAAAAAAAAAAAAACCAATTTTGAAATCAATAGCTCCAAATTATAAATAGAGAGCAAGGGGTATAGAATTTCCTCAACACTTCCACAGTGCCTGAAATGACAGGTGCTTTCAAATATGTTCTCCGGTTTCTTCACAACTCTGTGAGGTATCTCCTTTACAGATGAGGAAACTGAAGTGCAACGGAATGGCTTTCCTAACATACCACAGCTTTGAAAAGCAAACCTAGTAACTTGAAATCTCTTCTGACAGCATTAGAGAGAGAAGCAGAGGAATTAGTACAAGATCACTTCCAAGAACTGAAAATGTTCACAAATATATTAAATATGGGGAGACGCTCTAAGTAAAACAAATGAATGTCATTTTTTGATCAAACACAATACCAGGGTACGAGATCATCAATAGACATTTTAATGCTTCATGATGATTTACTTTTAAAAAAATGATGGGCAATTAGCAATTGCATTGGCAGGTTAGCTAAGTCCATCAAATAAGTGTTTATATTCTCATAGAGCACAAGAATATTTTTTGCAACAAATGACAAATATAACACATGGTCCCTGCTCAGGTTTATAATCTGAAACATAGTTAAGATATAGGTGATATAACTAAAAGAATAGAATACTATTGAAGTTTTGTTTTTGCATGAAAAATTTTCAGGTCTTTGGTGATAACCAAATGTCTTGCATAAGTAGATTTTAGAATGAGATATTAAAAAACACTATTACTACAATAAAATAAAATAAAGTATTAAAATAAAAGCACTAATAATATGACAAAGACTGACTTGGTTTTTGGGACATAATGTAAAATGATTTTCAGCTGACAGCAGAAGATACTTCTCTGGTATAAGAATATTTGGGTATAGAATAAAGAAGGTATGGAGTTTCAAAACAAGGTAGTACTTTCAGCCCTTCCTTTAATCTTCTTTATTTACAAAATTCAGTTAACCAATTAAAGGGAGTGATAGCCTTTTCAGTTTCTAAACGGAGGTATGAGAGGCATCAGGATGTAAGTCCAAGAAATATCAACAGTGCAGTGTAGTGCTGGGAAAAAAGGGGGTAACAGCAGAAGTAAGGGGGAGGAGCCCAATATAAGGTCAAAAGCAATGGAAAAATAAGATGACTAGAAGTTAAAAGCTATTTGAGAGGAAGGCTTAATATGAATTTGGAGAAAAAATTATGAAAATATTTAAACATGTAAAGCTCCAACTGAAACACAAGATACGTTTAAAATAAGTCTGATTGAAAGGGAAAATACACTGTAAAATATTTATTTCATAAAAATAATTTTATAATCTATACAGAATTGAATAAAAAGTGCAACAAATTATTTTCATTTCTTTGCAAAACTGTATACAGTACAACTAGCACAATGGATTCAGCATTCTATGGCCATCCACCAAGATGGGAACACAATCTTGTCTTAAATACATAAAGGCTCTGGCTGGGTGCCACAAACCGTGTGTTAAATTCCAGGGAAACATTCCTTTGGTAATGTGAACAATTTGATTGTACCATAGTCCATTTCATTTTTTAAAACATCAGAATTCCTCAAACATGATTTTTTACTTATTTGTGGATAATTTCTTACAGAACAGAAGGAAAACAGCAAAAAAGGAAACAATATAAAAATGAAGATTGCTAACTTACGAAATACTGTCCCTTCCTTTCCTTAACCAGTGTTCTTTGCCTTTCCTGCAAGTATTAAGAAAGGTGAATGCCAATGACCTGCTCTGATCCACCTATTTTGCTTCTAGGATCCTTGCTTAAACCAAATGAATATGTCAATTCTGCAATCTTGACACTATGATTACCATTGTTTAGCCTTGTTGTTCTAAAAAAGTTAACACCATAGTTAAAAGAGCTACCTACGTGCTTCTCCAAATAAGGCAACAGAGTTGGCTTTGAAACAGTTTTTATGTCTCATAAATATTAGTAGTCCCTTGGGAGACTGCAGAATTAAATGCATATAGAACAATATGCCTTTCAAGTTAACTTGGAAATGGAATTACTAGCAACTTTTAAACATTCAAAATGATCCGCCCTTACAAACAAAGGCTGATTTAAGGTACAAAAATGCAGGAATCAAAAAACCCATTAAAATAATTAGAAAGAGGCTCAGTTTATGAAAAAGACCTGGGAATAATCCAACTCCTACAGATATCTTTATCCTGAATAAGGAAATCAAAATAATATGAAAGCTACAAATGGGAATGAAGTTATTTTAAAGAAAAAGACATTTTCATTTCATTTTGGAAATAAAGGGGAATGCACATAACAAAATGGGCTAGTTGTATTTTGAGTCTGTGTATGATTTTTCATCATGGAATTAACAGTCCTCCATACTGAAGAATAATAGACAAGCAAACCTGTTTTCTTATCAGGTCTCTTCATTTGGATTATAAGCAGGCTTTAAAACTTGCCTTCTTACTAACTGAGCTTCTCTGGGAAGCATATGAATAATGCAAAAATGTATTTGTAAAGAAAGTTTACACAATACGTAACGGTGAAGATGGGAACCAAGAATATTCATACAATGAATTTTCTAAAAATAACTTAAAATTAAAAATGACACATACTCCTTAGACATTAAACCAGAGCAAATATTGCCAGTCATAGTAACAACATTCATCTGTAGAAACACAAATGCACATGAGTAACACAGAAACCAGAATGAAGGTCAATAGACGCAGGTGCTAATAGAACATAGTTCTATCATGACACAATAACCTGTGGCCTCTTTGAAGCCCTGGTCCCACGAGGCCAAGAGTCTGGCTAAGGGGATATAGATGTGCATGACCTACAAAACATGGAACACGCTCACTAATCAAGTATACAACACTGTGTGCTGCCTGATTGCTCCTGATTACTTGGTTTTCAAAACCAAGTTCACTTTTGAATCAGAAAAAGGTCATCCTTGAATTAGCTCTCACAAATAATCCATGAGACCAACTTGACTTCTCGCTTGTCAGCAGTACCATGGTATCTCAGGAATATAGGGATTAGTTGAGCGGCTGCTTTGAAGCCATGAAATGCACATTCATAAATATCTGTCTGAACCTTAAAAATATTACATATATCCAGGCAGTTGCTGTGCAGAGTTTTTGCTGTGAGAGGCAGCTCTTGAGTGGTGTCTTAGGAAGTGGTTACTTGAGAACTTGGCTCTGGATCTTCCTGCTTTCTGCACTTCTTCGCAATACTGACTGCGCCACCAATCAGGAAAACCACAGCGATGAGTGCAAAATAACAGGCGTAGATCAGGAACTAAGAGGCAGAGAAGCAGTAATTGACAGAAGAGTCGATTAGAGATCATGTCTGTGAATATACTCTAATAATTAAAGATATACTCAGTTTACTTCAAAAAACACTGTCACATGTGGTGGGGTGGAGCCACAGTTCCACTAACTCAAAAGGCTGAGGCAGAAGTGCTTGAGCCCAGACCCTTTATCCTTAAAAACATAGGAAGATCTCCATCTCTAAAAACACAAAACAAAACAAAACCCCAAAACATTCTATACACAGACTATGTGCCATGCACTGAAGGCACAAAGCAGCAGTCCAACATGGAAGCCGTAAAATCTGACTGAGTGTAGCTTCATTCCTTACTAGCTCTGTGATCTTGTTGTGCTAACTTCTGAGCCTTGCCTGTGGCATTTACAGCACAGCCTTCATAATAATTCCCACCTCACAGGCTGCTGGGAGGAGTCACTGAGATCATGCATGGAAACGTTTATGAGCACAATGCCAATGCTGTTAACATTATTTTTTTTTATTGTTGATGTTATTGTTAGGAGTCATGGTCTTAAACTGAAGGCTAACTTCTGAAGAGCAGAACTTCTAGTCTTCCCCCAGAAGAGGGCAGTAGAGGCCAACTGTATTCCATTATATAGGTTTACTTTTTAAAAATAAGAATCTTCACCAAGACAATTTTTAAAAATGTGACTAAAGAGTTTATCAGTATCTTCACTGTTTATTACCTCTTAAAATAACTTACTTAATATTTATGAACTCACATATTTATTAATACTTATAAACGTTTAAGAGTTCAAGTAAGAATGTACCCTTACATCTCTGAGTGAGGTTCTTTCAAACTTGGATACACTTCTGTAGGAAGCCTATTATGGTAGTTAATGTCCGAACAGGTCACAGACCTCCTATCCTTCCACTGCTTAAAGCAACCATGTCTATAGCAGGTCATGTGTTAAGAATCATGACGGTATTTTTCAACAGCAAGTCATTATGCTGGCATTCAAGTGAGGGGAGCTTTAAGTAAAGAAGGGAGAAGACTATGCTATGAGATGAAACTGAGCATCTCAAACATAACCTAGAGTATTCCAGGCATAAATCAAGGGTGATTGGGCTATCACTCAGTGGCACAGTGCTTGCCCAGTATGTGTACGGACCTGACCCTTGAACTTGTGATTCTGCTTCTTGGCCTCATAAGCCTGGGATGACAGGCATGTGGCACCACACCCAGCTGTGAATTTCTTTTTATTAATCACACCCCACTTCTATTCCCTGACTGCATCAGCCTATCTTCAGGGTGAAGGGAAAGAACTCACTTGAACGGTGATTTCTAAGCCCAGGACGCTGGCATCCACCACAATCAGAGTGAGCACGGTCTGTAGTGCCAGGGCAATGAAGGTATTTACACCAAACACCAGGGCATAGCGCTCCATACTGAGGTTTGCGGCAATCTGAAACCTTTTGAAAACGTACAAGAAGAGTGAATGCACTAAAATTGCTTCTTGGATAGTTACAATTTTTTGCTTTAAATGTGAGGCCCAGTCCCTTCTTTGTACTGTCAATTTTTTTTAAATGTATAAATTGTGTATTATGTAAATTATTTTTATTTTTTAAAAAGGGTAACACTAAACATAACAAAACAGAACAAAGCAGATCAGAAGAAAACAATGCAAGTGACACAGATTTCAAAGCAAGACAACAGGAGATCTGCAATGGCTACCATAATGTGTCTTGTTTTCTTCTAAATAGTTGTCTGTATCTTCACACACAATGAATTCATACAAAACAAAATAGTTTAGTTTAAAAATAGCATAAAACTGCTCAGAACAGAGTAAGTAAGGTATTACAGGCCTTCAAAACCAGAAAATATGAAAATTAACAATGGCTACCACAATGTCTCTTGTTCTCTTCAAAAAGCTGAATATACCTTCATGTATGTTGAAATTAAGTAATACAAACAGACTAAAACCACTCTGAACAAAGAATAGAAGCACTACTGGATTTCACAGCATTGTAATACAGAATCAGCAATGGATAGCATAATCTCTGTTTTTCTTTAAAGTAGATATTCATTTCATCACACATAATATAATCAATTCTCATAAACTGTTTAGGAGAAGTTCTAGGCATGTATCAACCTCTACATGTACACCTATTCTTTCTGCATTAGAGGGAAAAACAAAACAAAGCAAAACAGAGCAAATTACTAGAAAAATAAGAAACAAAAAGGAGAAATAAATAACAATAGCAAAGAGCCCAAAACAATAACAATACTGGCCTTCAAAACATGGAGGTAGGAAGAGAACTAAGTTTGATATTTTACTTATGTACTATCAATTTTTTTCCTAAAAGGGAAAAATCGTTGCTAAATGTAAATCTCATGCAAACATCTGAAAACAATAGTAACAGACAGACAAGGCTTCCAGAAGAGAAAAACTGATGATGTACACACAATACAATGCCTCCTCCCATTTGCCTCCTTTACCAAGATATTTTAATTTCTTGGTTTGTAAAGGAATTAATAAACGTGTACTGTCATGACTTTCTCAATGTTTCTTTGAGCCAAAAAACCTACGTTGCTATTGTGATGAGTAACGTATAGATGGTTCTAAAGATGACATAGGATGCGTAGCACGCCCAGATGTTACCCACGGTGTCCATGACATACACTGCAGCAGCAATCAGGAAAGAACACAGGGACAACGTCATCTCTCCCCAGGTTGACCAAGATATTTTTATGTAACCAACTGCAAACACGGCAATAGCACCTACAAAACAATAAGCAATCCAGTTCTTTTACTGTTGTACTATTTTGGTAAATTAAAAACCATTAAGTTTAAATCTTTAAACTTATAAACTAGATAGCTCAAGTTTATAGTGGACCTTGAAACTCAGGCAGAAATATTGTATTTGACAGAAGAAATAATACAGAGCCACTGAGAGATGGTGAGGGACTGCACTAGGGCAGATGGCAGCAAGGACAGAGACCCAGATGTATTGCTAAGGAAAACACTGCATGGCTGAGGCACAGGCAGGAGTAAGGCAGAACCACTGTCCTAGCTGGGCAACACGGCAGGGGGAGTCATCTCTCCTGCAGACCTAAGGGCAATCCTGGGCTTCTCTGCCCTTTGATAAAATGATGACAGCTAATATATATGGAGTGCTTTCTGAGTGCCAGACAGTAAATATTTACAGGTAATCATACAAAACTTCCCAATAACCTTGTGAGGCAGGGCAACAGATAAGAAAGGGACAGCAAGGTATGACGTCAAGGACAACGGCTCTGAAGCCACCCTGCCAAGTTCAAAGCTTCGCTACTTCCCATCTACATAATCTTAGGCTAAATATTAAGCTACATGCCCAAAGTTTCTATTTATTAAAAAAAAGGCAATAACTGTACCTATCTCATGATAGTCTACCACATCTTAGCATTCCACAGGTATTAGTTATTACTGCTAAAAACGGTAATATATTGCCACTTAAAATTTTACATTGACAAAATTATTCAGCTAATACACAGGTAAGAGAAATTGGACAAGCACAAAAACAATTTGGAAAATTATGTTGTTTCTCCAAAACTTAAAATAATTCAAATTTGCAAATCAACCTCCTCTACCACTTGAGTATTTCCAAGTTTTTCTAAATTATTATTTTTTTAAATTTTTTTTTATTTAAGGAGAAAAAGAAAAAAACAGAAAAAGGGTACAAGTAATACAAAATTTAAAAAATAAACAGTAAGAAATACTAGTTAATAGATTACATATTCTCATCTTAGAAATAGTTGTTCAAGTTACAAAACTGAAGCATATAAAGTGGACTTTCAAACAGTGAGAGTGCAAACAGTTTTGTTCAATGATCCAAAAAAACTCAGTAATATGGTTATCTATCTTATACACTTAAACATATATGCAGTTATAACCTTTAGAGTTTTTCTAAATTATAAGAGTTTGAAAGAAATAAATTAATCTTTGGAGCTGCTTCACGTTTGGGAGGGAAGAGTTACTCATGGTTGGAGTAACCACCAGGACTCTCCCCACACTACCTGCTACCACTTGGCTTCACTTACCCAGTAAGGTTGAAACGGCCTCCACCCCACCATTGTAGATGGCAGCATGGCGAGAAGGCATCACAGTCTCCCACAGGCCCTGTGTGTAGTTGATGACTTGGAAGTAGCCACAGGTGGAAAGGGCCCACCACACAGACCAGCAGAGCAGGGGGCGGGAGGAGTAGCATATCAGGAAATCATTCCACAGTACCTTCAACACAAGGAGGCGGTCTGGCTTGGCTTCCTGCACAGCAAAGGGAATAGATCGGAACCCCATGATGCTAATTGTGCAGACAGCAATTTGTGTATGGACCCAGTTCTCTTTTAACTTATATAAACTGCTTGTTTCATATAAATAAAACATAAATTCACCAACGAATTATATTTAGCCCTTTGTGGAGGAGACATTATTCTCCTTACCACCTTATAAATGATAATCTACAGTAAGAGTACAAAGTTATTTATTTTTCATGTCTAATAATAACATCAATTACCATGTATTAAGAACATACTATGCATACTTATTTGAAAGTTTTATATTGTCTCCATTAATACTCAAAAAATAATAGGTATAAGAACTAAATAACTTGCTCAAGAAGTTTTAGAACTGGAACTTACTTCTTTTTCTTAAAACCTATTGTATTTTGCTGCTAGAAATGACATTATTAAATTCCAGAATAACAAGTACTAACTGTGCTGATCTTATTGTCTTGTAGAACTGAGATTGTTACTAAAAGATGTTCAGTCTACAAATAAAAGCATGAACACATTAGAACATCTTAATGGTATGCCAGCCCCCGACTAAAAAGTTTAATTTGAATTTTTGCATGTAGTGCTGAGGGTCAGACTTAAAGCATCACATCACATATGCACCGTCAATCAATTTTGTTTTTTTTTTTTTTTTCTTTTTTTGGTACTGAGGATTGAGCTTACAACCTTGCGCTTGCCAAGCAGGTGCCTATGCCACTGAGCTGTATCTCTGGTCATGAATCATTTTTAATGGATGAAGAACTCAAAATATGCCAGGTCCAGATATAAGCCAAGCATGAGTTCCAATTGAGAAAGAAAACTGCTGATTGCTCTTCTTCCTGCAGTGTCAGCAACCTCTGCTCCAAAAGAACAGGTTTTCTCTGAAAAGAATTTAAAATACTCTAAGGTAACTTGGGGAGAGGATTATGATTTTTACTCCACCTACTTTATTTTCCCTTTCTATAAAATGCAGATAAAACTAATCATCTATCTATTTGTCAATAATCACAACTATATTCCTGGTTTAATTAGAGATTTTTCAGTTTAAAATGGCTGGGATCCCCAACATCTATACTGACTTTCCTTTGAGCTTGCCAAAGAAAAACAGTAGTATTTTAAGGCCAGTGAATCCGGAACCAAGCAGCACCATCCACCTGCTAAGTCAGCAACAGCTGAGTCCAGGACGTCACAGAACTGACTTGAAATCTAATTTTGCCTACACCATAGCCAGCTGGATGGTTCTGACAAAGTTGTCAGTCTAATGAAAGATCTTACAGGGAAAAGTATGGTGAGAAGCGGACCACATATATGCTCTTACAGTGTTTAGGATGGGTATTTGTGCAAGTCTGCATAAATTATTAATCTCTGATCCCAGTCCTTATCTGGATGACAGGGTTGATGATGCTCTTCTAAGATGCTCAGACTTTCTATGACCTGTGGTTAGAATAATTTTTGATTTTCTAACACTTTATAATTCTTTGTTATGTAAAAAAACCTGACACTTTGTGTATCTATAAATGATAAACTTCAAACAGGTCTAGGATATACTTTTTTAAACTATAGGTCATAACACATAAGTGACTACTAAAATTGATTCAGTACGCAGTGACCTGATATAAAAGTTAAAATCTGAAATTCACTGGTCCATAAAAACCTTTAAAATTTTATGGTTAGTGTTAATTAGCCAAAGCCATTGTAACACATTTGAAACAACCCCACCTCCATTTTTCTACTATAGGAGATCTATCAAATGATTATGTTTCTTCTCTCTCCTAACAACCCTTTTTTGACCTTCCAATGTCACCGAACATATCAAGATGGAATCGGCATTTTATTGATACTCAAACTCTGGTCACGTTGACTAATGCTGCCCATAGGTGCTCTTGTAGTCAATATGCATCACGATGGTGTCAAACAGATTCCATGGAACAATAACCTGAATTTCAACTCGTTTTCTACAGTAAAGAATCGGAGTAACGAAAGACAGTAGTTTCCACCAAGGACACTAAAGGCTGGATTGAAACCACTGGGTTAACTCCATGTAGAAAACCTTGACTCTGCTCACAGTGGGTCTTCACTCTCACTGGGTCCACAAAACTCACAGAGTTCGGTATTATGTCTGGCAGAGCCCACAGGCCAAGCACAACGTTAATAAGCTTATTTCCACATGTGTTTCAGAAAAACTCTAATTCAGTGTGCTTGGAATGAACTCTGTCCCTCAGAGCTTATAACACAGCTTGGAAAAACAAAGAAACCTCTATTTAAAAGTTTTAAAAAAGGTGAGTGACAAGGGGAGCAATTCATTTTCCTGGCCACAAAGAATGAATGTAAGAAGTATTTTAAATGCCATATTTCTCTCGTCTAAGAGGCAGCTTTATAGTCAAATTTCTAATATTACTCCATTGTTAGCTTAATTTTTTCTATTGTGATTTTCTTCCTCTGCATTATTCATTACTATTTACTTTGAAAAGGTAAGTAACATATATCATTTCTAGCACAGAAAAGCAAAGTACATTTCTATCTTCAAATACTCTGGAATTTGGTTCAGAAGCTAGAAGTATGGACGAGACATTTTCATCTCCATTATTAAGCAAAAAAATTGGTGGATTGATTGATTGATTTATGTATGTATGTATGTATGTATGTATGTATGTATGTATTTACTTATTTGAGATGGAGTCATCTTCTATAGTTCAGGCTGGCCTGGAACTCACAGTGATTTTTCCTGCCTCAGCTTCTAGAGTGCTGGAATTATAGAAGTATACCACCACACCTATCTACTAGCAAAAAATCGGAATGTTCCCTCTATATCTCAAGCAATGGAGGTAGAAACAGGGAGATGTAGATCCTGAAATTCAAGACATTGCTGAAATGAATACAGAGTACTGTGCTAGTCTGATTTTCAAGCACTTTAGGGGAAAACAAGTTTGTTGTCCCTAACACAAATCAGTTTTACCTTGAATTAATTAATAAATGAATGAACTAATAAACCAACTCAGGATAAAACCTGAATCCAAATGAGTACAAGATCTAGCAAGAAGGGTTTATTTTATCACCATTAGTCATCCCCCAAAACTGTAATTACAAAACAATTTTAATGCTGAGCTTACCGGTTCCTCCACGGGAGGCTCTTCCGGATTTAAAGGGATTTTTGACTCAATGTCCTCCCAACCAGGCAGGTGGTTAGAAGCAGATGTGTCAGTCACAATGCCACCATTTTGTACCTTGATGCCATTCATTCCCTGGCATGATGAAGGAACATGGTGAAAGAAGAGGCTCTTCTGTGGCATAGGTAGAAACCAGGCCACAGCAAAAGCCACAGAAACACAGGTGAGAGAGATGACATTCAGGCTGAACAGGGACCAGCCTGCCACCGAGACAAGGATTTGTCCTAGGACAGAGCTCACTGTAAAGCCCACTAACGTGGCACTTCGACAGTAACTTGTGACCTTCTGGTACATGCCCAGGTCCACCACACTGTAGATATAAGAGTAATAGGCAATTTCAGTGGCTGTGGCGATGCCATAGAAGAATTCTAGGAACTGAATGGCCAGCAGTCCCTGCGCATAAAGCAGCATGAACCATGTGACAATAAGGCTGAATCCCTGCAGCAGAACAATGGGTTTGTAACGGAGGTAGTCTGTGGCGAGGAACACAGGAAACAGCAGCACCAGGTAAGAGTAAGTCCACACTGGGTAAATCTCATTGAAGACCTGGCAGAAAGAATGAAAACCCATTAGTGATCAAAAGACCTCACTATTCACGAGCAATTTACTCTTAGAAAACCATGTACTAACACTTTAAAGAACTCATTCAAAGAAAACTCAGTAACCATCAGCTGATTATATGTATGCCCTTCCATATCAGCTAACTATAGGGATACCTTCCGTATCTCCACTCCATCATTTTGCTAATAAGGCTCAGTCCAAAGACTTCCTTTATCCAGAAAGATTTTGTTGGGGTTGATAGTGTTTCCACGACAATATTCAAGATTCTCTTGATGTGCTTTGTAGGTGATAGTATCCCCAGTTATCTCATGGCTGTGAATCACCCAAGAAGCTGTAAAAAATCAGATGCCATGCCAAATTCTTAAAAACCTCTGAGGAGCCAGAGTCGAGAACCACTGCCTCATAAGGTTAAAAAGACAGGCCCAACATTTATCTGGACAATCTAATAGCATACTGTTTAAAAGATACGGGACAATCACTACTTTTGAAATTGAATATCAGCAGTTCTAACTTCCAGACACAGGGCAAGGAGTTTCAATCCTAAATTTTTCTGGTTTTAAATTACATTTTTAGAGGGACAAATAAATAGGTGAAGGGCACAAATCTGTTCTAATATACTGTCGGAATGATTTTATCTGAATGATAGGCAAGTTTTATGACTTTTTATTTATCTTTAATATGAAAGTTTTTTCTTTTTAAAAATTCATTTTAATTGACAGATAACTATACATTTATGGGGTACAGTACACAGTATGATACGTATATACATTCTGTAATGATCAGCTCGGAACATTTAGGTTATTTATCATCTTAGGCCTTTATTATTTCTTTGTGATGAGAACATTCAAAATCCTTCTGGCTATTTTACACGACACAATGTTAATATAATCATCATCATTCTGTATATAGTAGTTAAGTACACCAGAATTTACTGCTATTTTCTCTAGAATGCAAATTTTCAAATTAGGGTACAGTAGAAATAATTTTAAAAATCAGCTTCAAATCAAAAAGAGCTTCCATTCTGTTACTTGCTGTGTGATCGGAGATGCTCCTTGACCTAATGATGACATAAGCCCCAATGCACTCATGTAAGGTGAAAATGTATGAATAAAAAATGCATTTAATGCACATAAGCTACCATACACAACAAATTAGCAACATAGTACACAGGAGAAAGTGTCCTTTCCCTTTGTGGCTGCGTGGCTAGCTGGGAGCTGCGGTTTACTACCACATCCCACAACATGAAAAGAGTGCAGAACTACAGATTGCAAGCCCAGGAAAGAAGTAAAAATTCAAACTCTGGAGTACAGTTTCTATTGAATGTGTACTGTCTTTGTTCTCTCCTAAAGCTGAAATATTACTATGTGGAATGTTGTCAATCAGGAACTGCATAGTTAAGGTGTTTTAGTTTTCCTTGGCTTTACTCTCTACTATCAGTAAAAGACAGGTAAAACTTATCTTAACAGGATTGGTTTTTGCAGGGATTAAATGAAAGAATCCACTTTATTCACAAACTCGGAGACATTACAGCTGAAATACAAACCACCTGTAGCAATGTGAATCAACAATTACGGACTATCACTCCTAATATTTCAAGAGCAATCACTGCAATGACTTTTCCTTCTTTTTACACTGAATCCACTGTCCTGGGGGTTTAAGTAAGTCAGTTTTCAAATGATCATTGCAAAGCCCACATTTTAAAGTGCTTCAGTTTTTAAGTGCTTTTTGGAAAATAGTCTTGGTAAGAAGACGAGACTTGGACGCTGAGTCTGACGGTAGCAGCCTATTTAACTGTCAAGTATATCTCGAGTTGTCCAAATGTGAAATGAGCTGATTTTTTAAAGATTTTAGAAAAACAACAAATGAAACAAATTCTATCAAATGTCTTGCCAGCACCAAGCACAACTACAGCAGTAAAACACAACCCTGTTTTCTAAAATATATTCCAGAGTTGTTTTATGACCAGCTTTGACTCACAGGGATCTATCTGGTTTCACAAATGCTATTTAATTTGGGCTCAGAAATCAGCACCAACCCTCTTGATCAGGAAACTGTTGCATCTGAATACAGGTATGAAAGAATAATCAAGAACTGTAGAAATGATTCTTATTCCAAAGTGTGCAAATGTTAACCAATGAGGGCCAAAAAATGTCTGTGGCTGGTATGACCACAGCAGAATGTACCCCAGTAGAACACAAACCAAAGGGGTAAGGATAACCTTGAGATGGAAGGTATGCATACTTCTTACAGTCGTGTTCCACATAACAACATCCTCCTCCCTTTTCTGCCTATGCTTTTACAGATGACACTCTTCTGTAGTTTTCTAGAATTTGAAACTGCCTGTTGTTTGACTCATATATTTCTTAAACTTACATGTTTCCCAACATATTTCTCCAAACCCAGTACCACAAAGCTACTAGCAAATAAACCTTGAAAAATTATCTGTACTGGAAATGTGGTATCACATTTATAGTAGCACAATTTGTAATAGCTGTATCTTGCAAACAACCCAGATGCCTATCAACCAATGAACGCAAAAATAAAATGTAGTTTTTATATACAATGGAGTACTACTTTACCATAAAGAAGGATACACTTGAGACATTTTTAGGTAGATGGATGCATCTTGAGAACATACTTTTAGGTGAAAGAAATAAGACACACATGTTTAAATATGGCACTGTTTCTCTTGTGTGAGAAATGGAAAGTGTAAATAAGGGACAAAATGGGATATTGGGATGTAGGAAAAATAACGTTCAAATGAGAAGGAGAACCAGGGAGTGAAGAGAGAGAACAGAAGGAAGGGAAAAGGAAAAAAAAGGGGAAGAGCAAACAAAGCTTTTGTAGATAAGGAGAGGAACAAGGGTTGAAGGGAGGGGAGGAGAATGGGAAAAAGGAACCAAGATATATTAGTATAGGTACAAGTTCCCTGATAAATGTGATCATTATATTAAAAATGTACCAGTAAAATTAACTAAAAATGAAATAAAATGTGGAATGTGTAATTGATGAAGGATTATTCATAAGGAAGAATGAAGTTCTATCCATCTGCAGCAAAACAGATGGAATGGGAGACAATTTTGTTACATGAAATAAGACAGGCGTGGAAAGATAAATACTACAAATTCTCTCTCACACGTGGAACTAAAAAAGTAGACATAAATGTGTAAGCGAGTTGTTGCTGCAGGGTGAAGGAGAGAGGAGTAGGTGCAGGGAGGCTGGATAATGGGCACCAAAACATAGTTAAGAAAGAAGATGACAGTTTGGTGTTCCACGGCATAGTGACTACAGCCCACGACATATTAAATATTTTATGAGTAACTGTAAGACAGGATCTCAAAGGTTCCAAATAATGAAATGATAGAAAGAAGAATACTAATTATTCTGATTTGATCAGTATATGCTACAGGCAAGCGCTGAAACACACTACATAAATATGTGCAATTATTGTTACTAAAAACTACATGAGACATTAAAAAAATCTCTGTTGCTCTCTTCAACACACCATCTTCTTTTGTTTCAGGTCTTTGGTTGACTTCACTTTAGTAATATTGTCTCTGCTTAGACAGGTCACACAATTTTCAGTAATAGTTGTCCCTAAATAATTAACTGCCAAGCTTTCATTCTATAAACCCTATCCGTTAATATCAACTTAAAGTATCTAATATGCATGAACCTAATTCTGCTCTTTATACAGAACCACAAGTTGAATCATGAAGATGAGGGGAAGTAACATCATCTCTATTTTACAATGAATGCCACTCAACCTTAGAGAAAGATTAGGTAAATTATCCAAAATTACCACAGCAAGGATCAGCAGAGAAAGGATCTGAAACTAATACTCAGAATCAGGTACTCTGAATCTATCACACTGAAATGGCTGTTTCTTCCATCAGAAGACTGTTACTGATCTATTATGTTTCGCGGTTACTTCTGATACCTATGCTAGCTTTCTCAATCTGCATAAGGTGCTTTTATAGGACATCTGTCAAGAGATAAAGACCACATAATTTTCAGAGCTCGCTTTTGAGTGTCCAAAGGAGGTCCTCAAACCTAAGTGATTACCCTAGAAAACACTTCTTAGATAGACACTTTGAATCTGGAAGGGGAACTTCCTACCAGCAAGAATGTGCAAACTATATACATTTTACTAGATTTAGACACTACAGACATTTACTAGACATTGTGCAGGTAAAATCTGCCACGTAATCAAACGGAACTGATTTCATTCTCTTCAAAGTATCTTTTACAACTCTTTGAATCAAAGCTTGTTTAAGCTTTCTTCTGAGATACAAAAAGTCAAGGAAAACAATGTTCAATTTTAACCTCTAATTCAGACTTTGACTTTATTTTGGAATTGAGTTTCAATTAAACTTTTATTTGGACAACACTCTTCTCAAGCTGTAGAGATAACAATAAAGAATGAAATGAAGCTCCTGCTCTTCAGGACTTGTGAACGTATTAAGGAGTATACACACACACAATATTTACAGCAGAAATAGGAAATGCAGGGCTTATTCTTTGAGGTTGATCTTGAAGGACAAGAAAGAGGCTAACGGAATGATGTCAACAAATATGTATGGGAAAAGTCTAGGCAGATATCACATCTTTAAGTACAGGACGACAGATCAGAGTCTGTAGCTGTGCCAAATTTACAATTACAAAATTAATATGAATGAAGCTTTGAGATATGGAAAGTGGGAAGGGGAAAAAGAATGTAGTGAGAACACTAATAGGGAGGTAAAAATCAAGAGTGAATAGTAGGATGATTAAAAGCGAGTAAGTATCAAACAGCATTATTAAAAGTTTGATTTTCAACAACTAGAATACAGTCAAATTTTAAGCTGATTAAAACTTAGAAAGAGGTAACTTTTAAAGTTAATGCTTTTCCTAAAACCTAAGAAATCCTTGGAGAGTGGCTACCCGAGACCCAGCCATGTTGGGACTTAGGCAGCTGCACAAGAAAGCAATTTGTCCCCCCTCAGCTGTTACCGTCAGCAACTGGGGACAGAGTTCTGAGCATCTCTTAGGAGCATGACCACATGCAATATAGCAAATAAGGGGGATTTCCTTCTATGTTCTGTTTGTAGGCAAAGGTAATTTTCACTGGTATGTTTTGTAATGATTGTTATGCTCTAGTCAATATTCTCCTTCCATTGGTTTTCTGGTTTTTTTTTTTTTTTGCTTTTTCCTTTTTATCAGTACCGGGGATCGAACTCATGACTACCTGCTTGCAAGGCAGGCGCTTATGCCGCTGAGCTAAATCCCCAGCCCCTACCTTCAATTGGTTTTACAAAGGTCTGTTAATGGTTTGATTTCACTATACTTAATTGACTGGACAACTATTATGAAGATAATGAGATATAGTATAGTACTTATTACTACTATCCCAGTATCTTGCTGTGAAGTTCTATATCAATGTCACTACATTGTCTCGACTGGCTTTGTTTTATCTTTTTCTGTTGTATTTTTACTACATTAAAAAAAAAAAAAAAAGAACAACAACAAAGAACCAACAAGCACCGGGAGACTAAGCAAATGTATTTTGTTCACTGATTTACAGAGAATATAAAAAGTATTTCTCACCATTTAAAAACTTTGGGTTTATAGTTAGAGAGAATGTCTCCTTCTACAAACATGGCAAAGACTATGACTTTCTACAAGGTCCCTGATTGTTTATTTTTTAAAACCTACAGTAACACTGAAAATCACAATTATAATTTCAAATAGATTACAAGAATTTGTGTGTATGTACAGCAGTTTTTATTTCTAGGAAAAAATGGGGTGGTTGTTAAACTGGGCAAATCTGTAACATATAGTAGGCAGATATTGGTAAGCCAAAACAGAGCAAAACATATGATCAGATGATACTCTTGGTTTTTTTTTTTTTTTTTTTTTTGTCTTTTTCCGTTTTTATCGGTACCAGGGATCGAACTCACGACCACACACTTGCAAGGAAGGCGCTTATGCCGCTGAGCTAAAACCCCAGCACCAATACTCTTGGTTTTTAATACAGTAATACAGCAATTTGTGATCCTGTTTATTTGCTACTTTTAAAAGTTTCTTCTAGCAGTTAACAAATTTTGATGGATCCAGTTAGAAAAAATAACACATGTCTATTTATTATTTTTAAGCAAAATGTTTGAAATTTTTGAACTTTCTAGAATAATTATATTTGAAAACCTCAGCATTTGAAAAAATATTCAGTCAATTCATATTTTGCTTTGTAGCTTGCCAATACACATTAGTGTATAGTTTAGAAAGAACCACCCACAAGTCCAATTTTATCAGTCCTTTGATAATTCCAAATTCACATTAGAGCTTATTGAAAGAGGTTCCTGAGTTGCTATATATATGTCATGCCAAATGAATGTTTTTATATAGGTCGTAATTCTTTATTATATTACTCTGTTATATAACTTTCCTTTTCTAGTTATAAAAGCAATATGTGTTCATAATAAAAGTTCAGCTGTTAAATTAAAAAAAAGAAATACATTCTTAGAGAAAAGGAAGTGTCTTTCTCACTTAGGTAATAATAGCTGTATTTAAGATGATCCAGTATGGCTATTGTAGGGGAAATGAAAATTTCAAAGAGAAATGTCACTTCACATGACTTGGTATTTGCTTTGCTAAAAAAATCATGAAATATATTTTATTTAACTGTTCATTGCTGAAAATGAGCACTCAAAGAGAGCAAGTTGTCCTGTTTATTTCAGTTATTAGTTATTAAAAAGAAATCTAGGGTTCTCCACTGGGTAATCAGAGCCCTATAGTATACCACCAACAGAATCAGCTATGATTCCAAGGATCTCAAAAACAAATGACACATCTCAGGTCCCATATTCCTAGATTTCCCCTCACCTAATTTGCAATAACGGATACAGGCTTTTGTTTTCATCACATGAACAATAAATATTTACTGGGTCTGGCAACTCTGCTTTATTTCCAAGTCCCCTACTGTGTTTCACTCACCCTAGAAAGCTATCTGGTAAGACAGAACACGTGTTTACCATACACGGCACATGAGATCCTCTACCCAGGTTACATCTTCAGGGCACAAGAGAACAGACTGGCTTTTAAATAAAACAGCATCTCCCCCCACCCCGCAGTGCTTTTCTGTGAAACTGTGCAGATCACATGGCAGTTCATATGAAACTTTGTCACCTTACTCACAAGTAGTAGCATTTCTACTTCAATAACTATATCTCAGATTCAGTGTTTGTGCATGTGTGTGTCTCCAGAATAAAATGTTCTCTTATCAGTGCAGTAGTTTTTTGTTATAAAATAATAATGCTCACAAGAATTTCATCTTTCGTTTTAACAAGTACCAAAAGTCAAACAGATAATAACTATAACACTCCCTTGTGTAATGATCAGTTAAGACTGAGAAACAGATGGTCTGAGGTTTGGGTAAAAGTTGCTACTGTGAAACAACATAACTCAAATGAATCCAGTAATTAAAACTCACACTCAGTTTCTTCTCCAACGCCCTTGGAAATGAAGACACACTGCAGCAATGAACGGGACTGAGTAATTTTATCCTACCAGACTGCAAATGACTTTGGTAGTGCCCGTTCTTGCTCTGACCTGTTATGCTAGGTACTGACTTGCTCTGCAGTACAGATCACTGAATGCTAACAAACACAAGAAGAAAATGTTTTAAATGGAAATGTTTTGTAGGAACTAGGACAAGGAAGCACGGCGGGAGGAAAAGAAATAGAAAAAAAGGGACAGTTAACTTGGGCTCATTCAGCTGAGAGTAGGGAAAAGAAAACAACTCAGCTCTTGCCATTCCTAATATGCAAGGAAAGGCATACTGATTCTGCTTAGTGTGGCTTTGTGGTAGCGATTTGGATTCAACTTGCTTGTCTATTTATATAAAGTCTTCGTTCTGCAAAAAGCAAGTATTAACCATGCACTTCAAGAGTTAAACGCATTTCTGAAATATAAGCCCTCATTTCCGGTAAATCAATAAGCCAAGAAGTTTTTGATTATGGATTACACGGTTTCAGTTACTCTAAGCATCACAGTAGGTACACAATCTTTAAAGAGTTCACCTTTGTAGTTGAGAAACAAATTTACTGCATGTGAAATAACAATCCACAATACAAGAAAAACTGTAATTACCGGCCAGTTATGCGGTATCACCTGCATTTACCGAGGAGATGGGGCTCAGTAGGGAGGAGTGTATCTCTGTATACAACATCATTTAATTAAGAATCAAGACAAATGAAAACACAGATTACTGTCCTGCCCTGTCCTGACGAGCACACTCATCCTGTAAAACAACATCAGCAAAACGAGGCCCGGGAGGCAGGAAGTGTGCTAGGTGCTGGGAAGACCCCGGTAGATGAGCAGCGGTTGCCGACTTTGAGGCAGTATTTACCGAACCTCTAGCTCCTAGAGGAGCTAGCAGTTTTCATTTCTTGTGTGTGTGTGTTTTGTTTTGTTTTGTTTTGTTTTTGTCTTTTTCCTTTTTATCGGTACGGGGGATCGAACTCACGACTGCTTGCTTTCAAGGCAGGCGCTTATGCCGCTGAGCTAAACCCACAGCCCCAGTTTTTATTTCTTTATCAAAAACATCGCCCTCTACCCGCTGCAGAAACCGCCGGTCCAGGCGCAGGTCTCCGGGCGCGACCTCCCGCCCCCAACCCCGGTCCCCAGCGGCCACCCGGACGCCCGCCCCGCCCCGCCCGCTCACCTGCCGCTCTGTCAGGTTCTCGCGCGTCTCCAGCAGGTAGGGCGTCAGGAAGGGCTCGGACGGCCGTAGGCTGGCGAAGAAGCCGTAGGCGCAGAGCAGCGCGGTGGGCAGGAACCAACACTCGCGCGGCACGCGGGCGGTGCGCAGTAGCATGGTGGCAGCCGCCGCCGCCGCCCTCCGGGATACCGGGCCCGACACATCCATCCGAGGCCAGAGGCGCGGGGAGGATGCCCAGTACTCTCTACTCTCTCGGCAGCCCAGACTGAGAATGGGCGCCGGCCACCACCTCCAGCCGCAGGGCGCGCAGACGTTCAGGGCGGGGCCTGATGGGGTTCCCACCCCCGGGATAATTGGAGCCAATCATCGCGGACGCCTGAAGTGTGGTTTCTCCTCCATTGGTCGACAGGCAGGCCGGCGGCTGACGTTGAGGGTGGAGCTCCGGGTGGAAGCTGCGCCCCTTGTGGAGGCTCACGACTGTCCGGGAAGCTCTCTGTCGGTCACCCTGATCTGGAACGCGACCTGGAGTGCAGCCTCTGACGAGGTTGCCCGACGGTCATCTTTCAGTCTCAGTCACCACCCACCTCCGTGAGAGACACTGACCAAAGCTGGGCGACAATTTAACCTTGGCGCAAAGAATGCTAAACCTTTTCTTCTTAGCTTTCAGGTTTTAAACTTGTGTATCTGCCCTAGAAAGATACAGGAGTCTCAGGAGCTTGGCGTTGGGGGCGTTTATCTAGAGACAGAATAGAGGAAAGTAGAACAGTTATTGTGAGAACACGCTAGTCACTAAACGCAAGGACCGTGAAGTCCCCATGAAAGGATTTTAGCTTTATTTTATCACTTTTATTTTGGGGAGAGGAGGATAGGAGGAGAAACCACCTAACTGTGTAACATGGTCTGTTTCAGAAGGAAAGTGCAAAATCCTGAGTCATTAAAATAATCATTTGGTCGATTTCTACATTTAAAAACAAAACGCAACAGCAATAAAATCTTGGCATAGTTTTCAAGGACAACGCGTGACAAGAATCCCTAGTGCTTATTTTTTGGTCTGCCTTTCTGTTTGACTCAGTCGGACTCTGACCTAATGCACTGCAGACATTTAAAGCAATTTGCCCCATATACTGTGATCTAACTACCTCGGTTCTTGAACCTGGGACAGCAAGCTTCAGTGACAAATAAATGAGTTTGCAGATGGAAAAAGATACTAACAAATGAAGGATTCGTCTCTTAAGCCCCACAAATGAATTCACTAAAATATGTGAGTTGACCAATCTGGGAAGAAATATAATTCATGGTATTTATGTCTCTCAATCAGTCTTGTCAAGCCACAGAGGTCCTTGAAACCTTCTGAATTTCCACAAGGTCAAAACTATTTTCCTAATCATACTAAGGCTTTGTTTCCTTTTACACCCAGACTCTACATAATGTGGGATGTGGAATGCCATCATCACTCTTTAGGCTAAAAGAATGTATGCTTTAAAAAGTTCCAGGTTTCATTTAGCATGTGATAAATATCAGTAAGTATAATCTACCACAACCAAAGGTCTTTAGAGGCCTCAATAACAAGAATCTTGAGACCAAAAAGGTTGAGAATTTTGGATCTATAAAACTGTCTAGTTTTTTAAATTCCAACCATATGCAGTATTTGCTTCTTTCCATGACCATAGTGAGAATGCCAGGAGTCCTCTTGGCAATTGCTTTGCATTTGCATTTACTGCTTTAGTAGAAGAGAAGAAAGAGAAAGAAAGCCTCAGAAAGAGAAAGAGGCTTACCTAATAAAAACAGCTTTCCATCCTTTCTTTCCCTGAGGCTTGGAGACTGGAACTGTATTAATCCATACATCACTAGTCTGTAATTTCTTTACTGTAAATTATTTAGGAGCTTCAAGTGTTCTTTGCAATGAGACTGAGTATAAACCAGCTAGCTATTCTTGAGTTGAGTGGAAAATGTTTTCTTATTATTTCTGTTCTGGTCATGACAGATAGAATTCTTAAGACCCAAAATGACCCTTGCCCTTTTATAAGCTCTATCCATTTGACTGTGGGGTGGAACTTGTGAGATCATACTCATCAAAAGTGACTATGTAAAATTTTACAATAAAAGTGGGTTTATCGAGCTGGGCTCAGTCTAATCATGTAAACCTTTTAAAAACAGAATTTTTCCTCCTTACACAGTAGCAGAAGAGGAAGTGAGATTTGAAAGATGAAAAGAATTTGATGTGCTGTGCTGGAGGGGACTATATGCCAATGACTGCATGCGACCTGAGACTAACTCCTGATTGACAGCAAAGAAGGAGGATCCTATTCTTAAAGAGGGAAATGAATTCTGCTAAAACCTGCAATAAAATGAGAAGTTGATACTTCCTTAAAGCCTCAAAAGAAAAGCCCAGCAATATCAACATTTTTGTTTTGGCTGGTGAAACCTTAGGCAGAGAGCCCAAACAAGCACACCTGGATTTCTGAGCTACAGAATTATGAGCTAAGCTATTATAATTTTTTTAAGATGCTACATTTGTGATAATTTATTATATAACAATAGGCAACTAACAGATGTAAATAAGATTTATATTTTAAATTGAAGTAATATTTATATGACATAAAATTAGTGTTTAACCATACTGAGTGTACAACTCAGGGACATAAGCACATTCACATTGTAGATTTATTACTCCTCTCTAGTTCTGAGAGATTTTTCCCACTCTTGAAAGGTGACTCATACCCACTGATATAGGTTAGAATGAAAATTTCCCCCCAAATTATCATGTGTTCAGAGGCCAGGCTTTTGGAAGATGATTGGATCTTTAGAGGACAGTACTAGTAAGTGGATTAATCACTGACAAGTTCATAGCTGACTGTGATGTTAGTAGGAGAGGCCAGGTAGAAAGAGGTGAGTCACAGAAGGCTTAACCCAGAAAGGTGTATTTGTATTCCTGTGCTTCCCTTCATGATTGCCATGATTTGAGCAGCTTGCCTCTGCCTTGCTCTTCTGCCATCATATCTCTGTCTTGGAGCTACCCAACCATTGATTGAACCTTCTGTGAGCCACATAACCATTTCTCTCCTAAAACTGTGGATGTTGGGTATTTTGTCCCATTGATGGGACAGTGTGTAATGTTACCAAGAGTGCGGTCATTGCTCTGATTGTACCTGATCATGTGGTTCAGAAGCCTTTGGGACTGGTTTGTGGAAGAGATTTAGGAAAGTTTGGAAATTCAGCTCTAGAAACCCTACAGTGTTATTAACAGAGTTTGATGGGCAGTATTGGTCTTCTGTTCTCAGAAGAACAGAATGCTAATTGGAATGTGGATGATAAAGGCCAAGCTCAAGAGGTTTCAATTGAGAATGAAGATTTTATTGGGAAATTGGCCAGGGCCTATGTATGTTACATTCTGGGAAAGAAGTTGCCTTTTTTTTCCCCATGTCCTAAGACTTGTGGGAGGCTGAATTTAAGGAACTAACTAATCCTGCAGAGAAAATTTCAAGGCAGCCCAATGTTCAGGCAATGACACAGGTCCTGTTGGTTCACTTTGTAGCCAAATAAGCCAGGAAGTCCAAGGATTTTATAAAGTTTCAAGTTTAATTACTAGTTTATATTACTTATAAGTCACACATCATACTTCACACAAAAATATATAGTTCTAAGAAATTATTAACTGGTGGCTTTAAGATTCTAAGAGGAAGAGCAAAAAAGCAAGGCGTAGAGTCTACAGAGAGGTGGAAGTCATCACAAATGACTGGTTAAGACTAAAGACCAAAAAAAAAAAAAAAACCAACTATAGATCAGGCATTGCTTCTCCCAGGAGGTTCAGGGCTTGTCAAGAGTACAGAACATGTGGAAGGCTGAGTCTGGAGGTGGGAAGATCAAAATGATCTGAAGATGGGGACAGAGAACTGGAGCAATAATCTGTCAACCCTGCAATGTACTCCCCAAGTGATCTGTGTGGCACCACCACACTCCAGTGTTATGTGTTCCTCTTTTTGTATGATCCAGGTGAGGGAGTTAATTGCTTGTTGGTCTGGTGTGTCTAATAAGCTCATCAGCCTTTACTCTTTTTTCTGGTACAATTTAGGTGAATCATATATCCATGTGTCCCCAGTTTAATCTGATAAATTTACAAGTGGAAATTTTTTATCAGTGAGATTAGTAAGCTGTACACTTGTGCTATGCATCTTGGAGTTGTTTTTATTGATGATTTGTTGTATTCGACATCTGAGGGGTGTCTCTTTGCACTGATAAGCTATAAAGTCATTCTGCCTCAGCATTTGGAGGCTCCACTCACATTGGAGCAGAGCACTGTTTTATCACATGAAGTCACTCAGAACAAAGCACAGCCTAATAGCTACAAAGCATGATCAAAAAGAAAAAAGTAATGTTTTAACATAAAAACTTTTTTTAAAGTATTGCAGTAAGAGGCACATTCCTTTTAATCCTCTTCGGAGTACTTCTCACTTCAAACACATTTATCTATCCTTTTTGCCACTTAATGAAACCCTCATTTGTGTCTAGTTGCACTGTCATGACTGCCTTGATTAACTGATTTTAAAATGTTTACTTTTCATGGTCATTTTGACATTGGGATACAGTGGGACCAGATTGGTGACTATAATAGATGAAGGTACACTGTGATATTTTTATAATCCTGCTTTTCTATTGGATGATGCTCAGCAGCAACATTCCCTGTGTTTTTCTATAACATTTATAAAGATACTAATTAAAGAAGGCAATGTATAAGCTATGAGACTCTAGGGAGACTTTAGGGAGTTGGAAATGCCAGGAGCATGAAACATTTCCAGAGGAAAGCTGTAGGGAGTGATTAGAGCTAGCCCAAGAGAGAGGCCAGGAGGGCTGCTAACCTGCAAGGCCCCTGAATGAGGTTGCTTAATCCCTCATCAAGGCTCACTTCAGGACCTGGACATGGAGCTTCAGGATTTTATGTTTGTCCTCTAGTTTTTGGTCTGATTCCTTTTTATTTCCATGTTCTTACTGTGATTCCATTTTTAGTTCCTTATTCTTCCATTCCGTAGTAATATTGCCCTCTGCCACTGTATGTTGGAATTATTTATCTATTTGATTTGGATTTGCCTTGAGTCTTAAAGGAGGATTTGGACTTGGACTTTTCAGCAATGCTCGAAGTGTTAAGACTTTGGTGATTCTTGAAAATGGACTAAATTCATTTTGTCTAATGGGGTAGACATGAGCCTTTTAAAGGTTGGGGGAAATCTTATAGTTTTGCTCTAAAATGTCACTCAGAAGTTTTATGTGTTTGTAGGTGAGTCTTTTGGGCTGTAATTGGATCATGGGGAGCCAT